GTTTTTTGGAAATCCCTCTATCACAATTTGTGATTGAATCGCTAGTGTGCATGCGATAAATACCTTCATTTGATTTTTTTTATTAAAGTAAGTTCTAGGATTTGATTTGTTTCAATAGTTTAAATAACACGTATGAGCATAATTCGATTTAGCTGGGTTTTTTATATTGTTTGGATTTTTCAATTAATAATTTAACTTAACAGTACATATAATAAGTCGATATGAAATAACTACCCTTATATATTTCAATTTCTTTGTCCCTCTTTCAAGAAATAGGGGAAACCCCGTCATTTAACATAAATTTAACAAATGCGGTTAAACTTGTCACTTTCATTTACCGTATTATATATATATATATATATATATATATATATATATATATATATATATATATATATATATATATATATATATATATATATATATAACAAACATCAATACGCTCATAATTTTTATACATGATAAATATATGGGTAAATTACACTAATCGTCCCTCGTGTAGGTGCTGAAAAGTGCGTTTAATCCCTATTTTCAAAAATTAACTCGGACCGTCCCTCATTTGTTTAAAAAATGCATGCTTCGGCCCTTATATACATTTTTGTTGCAATATTAGTCCTTGCCATATCTGAAATGACCATAATGCCCTTTATGTTTACCTTTTCCAATTAATTTTATGTTATTATCATTATTATTAATTAAGATAGAAAAAAAAAAAAAAAAAAAAAAAAAAAAAAAAAAAAGATGTGGTCCCATTTCATGCCCAACCACATCTCTCCACCCACCGTACCATCCCTTTACTGTCTCTCTTCTCCAAACTCTTCAAAAACCCTAAAACCATTCATCCTTAAGCCACCGTCAGCGGATACCACCGTCATTTTACACTCCGATCACATTCATGGAAACCACCACCGTTTTACACACGTCGCACTCCAGCCACCATCTTTTCCGGTGTAAGTGGTTTTGAACCATCTAAAATCGATGCCTCCACCTGTGATTCAGTCTTTGATCTCCGATCTCCGTCAGCTAGGGCTTCGTCACATGTACCCTGCCATCGGCGTCGGCTAGGGTTTCGATAGATGTCATCGATCTTTGTGTGTTTCAACATATGTATAGAGATCGATCTCTGCCTCCATCGTGGATGAAATGAGTGGTTGAGATATAAAGATCATCGAGCTCAACATTCGGAGTCGATGTCGATGTAGGGGTGGTGGTTGGATGATTTCTGGTGTAAGGTGGAGAAGGCAATGAATAATGTAGGTTTCACCTGCACCTCCTCTTATTCAATCGCTGGAGTATGGTTTTATGTCCCCCACCTTTCGACCCTATATCTTTATATCACAAATTCCTTTTCAACTTTTTTTTTCTTTTGGGTTACAAGTCTAATCAGGTGAAGATTAGCAAATATGGTAGGGTAGGTGATGCTCCCGATGGTCATTTTTAATGGAGGTTGGTGTTGTGAATGACAATAATTAATAGGGAGGGGATGTGTCTGAGTTTAAAGATGGGATAAGGAAGAGAGAGAGAGAGAGAGAGAGACAGACAGACAGACAGAGGGAGAGAGGGAGAGAGAGAGAGAGAGAGAGAGACAAACAGACAGGCAGACAGACAGAGAGGGAGAGAGAGAGAGAGAGAGAGAGAGAGAGAGAGAGATAAGCGGTGGTTTTCGGTGGCAGTGGATGGTGGTCGGAGGTCAAGGGTGGCCGGAGGTGGATGGTAGCCAGAAGTGACCGTAGTTGGAGGTGCTTGATGGCCAAAAGGGTTTGAACTCCTTTTTAAGGGATGTTCCCTTTTTTAAAAATAATAATTATAAAAAAAATAATAGATAAGTTATAAACAATTAAAAAATAAATGAAAAAGAAAAAGAAAAGGGCAAGATAGTCATTTTATGTATGCGAGGGACCTAACGTGCACCTTTCAACGATACGAGGGACGGTCCAATTTAATTTTTAAAAATAGGGACTAAACACGTTTTTTGGTATGCGCACGAGGGACCAATGGTGTAATTTACCCTAAATATATAAACACATCATTACCGTAAAAACCTCTATGTTAATTTGTGTCTATAAAATCTCCCTTATTTTTTTAAAAAGTCTAAATATGTTTTTCAATAAGATGCATGTTTATAATAGGTTGTTGTGCTTTCTTATATTACCAAACCTTTAATATACAAATTTTTTCATATGGATTGAAACAATGGAAGGATTTAACAAACTTAATATAGGATTTTCTTTTATTTGTTTATAGCGAAATTATAGAGGGTTTTAATCGTCAAAAAATTAATAAAAAGGGGTTTTCCATGAATTGTCTATAAACATAAACCAACAGCCAAGTTGGTTTTTTGGGGTTTCATTTAGTTTTCGCTTCAATTTATTTATTTATTTATTTTTCATAAGTAGGAGCAAACCTGAGAGAAGATGATTTAAAACAGAAACTGTCTTTCAATCTTATTAGCCATACAAGTTGACATGATTACCGAGTAGCAACACCAAATTCACAAACCCAATCACCACTGCTGCTAACAAAGACTTTTGTCCCCATCCTGATAGTCCTAATCACCATCGATGCATAAAGCACCATCATACCCACCCCTGCCGAAAGCCCGCAATCGCAACAATCAATATCAATTGTGGCAGTACCTCAACTCCAATATCTTTAGATACAGGTTCTAGGTATTAAATTTAGTGGCCTCAGTGGAGCTAACCGGTTCTTTTAGCTTCGCCTTTGCTTCCGCGTTAGTACCACAAACCCTAATTTTTAGAGTGTGACCCTTATTTAAGAGTCATTATGGACCTTGAGGATGCCCCCTCATCAGCCTCCTTCCCACTAAAGACTCCCCACGAAACTCTAGCCTTTCTTTGTGTGTTTTTGAGCTTTGGTAATAAACTTTTGGTGTTTTGTGCATTGTGAAGAAGTAAGATCTTGGTGGTCAAGCATTGGTTGGAGTGGAGCTTGAAGATCCAGAATCTTCATCATCTTGGCAAGTCTATGAAGGTATAAAGTTTCAACCTTGTTGATTCATCTCTTAGATTTGGCTAGTTTAAGAGTTCTTGGCATATTTTGGTCCCTTGAGTTGTTTCTTGTGAGTATAAGCTACTCAAGAAGGTTAGGATGGTAGATATTAGTGTTTCTGAGGTCCCTTATGCATAAAAATGGTAGCTTTATGGGTTTAACTCAACGATGCAAGGGTTGATGTTCATTTCATGAGGTTATGGTATTAAAATTGGGTTTTGGGGCTTATTAAGCCATGTATAAGCTTAAAGCTTTCGACTTTATGGATTAAGACCTTGTTTTGGAGTATATATGAAGTTTGGAGGAAAGGGTCTTAAGAGATTAAGCCATCCATATGAGGCAAGTTCACATACCAATACGTCGGGCGTACTTCTATGTATGTTGCACGTACTGGGTCTGAAACCCGTATTTTGGTCGGCGTGAGTACACAGGGTGTACGAGTTAGGTACATTCAACATACTCCCAACTATGGGTTTAGAAGGTTTTGGGCCATTTTGGGCTTCGTTTGCTGTTGGGTTTGGGTCATGGTTATTTGGGCCGATTAAGGGGTAGGGTAAAATGACCCTTTTACCATAGGAGTCGGGTCTAATGAATTAGATTTATGGTTATGGTTTATGACCTAATTATTAGTTAGGGTATTATTTGATGGATTAGTGTGGGGATTCTTCGGTTTAACAGCCCGAGCATCTATTTGTTTACCAGCGAATTGAGGTGAGTTTGCTCATTATATTGTAGGACACTAGGGTTGTATGTGTTTGTTGTCTTTGTGACTCTTGATGTATGCATGTATGCTTATTTATTGTATGTATGTGGGGTGAAATAGACCCAAGTATGAAGTGGACGCGTATTGTTGAAAAATATTGATTTAGTTGAAATAAACTCGGGGGTGAAATAGACCCGGTATAACCTTGAGCTGACATGTGAATTGAAATAGACTCGGGGGTGAAATAGAAACAGGGTGAAATAGACCCGATATAGCCTTGAGCTAACATATATGTATAGTATATGGTATTTTGGGGGAACAAACTAAGTTTTGTGCTTACAGTTTTTAGTTTATGTTTTAAGTACTTCTGCTTCGAAGGGGAAGAGCTCGGGATGATCGCATAACACACACTATGATTTTCCGCCTTATTTGATCTCAATGTATTTTTGGATGATTGTTGCCATACTCTGATTTCCCTTATGAATTTTGTAAACATGTTTGGTTAATACAAAAATGAAATTTTTGGTCATAAGTTTTTGGGAAGTTACAAAAAAAAATGCAAGTACATTGCTATTAAGAGTAAAAAGCAAAATATGCTACTAGAAAAACAACCTTTTATGACGCGCAATGCGTGTGTAAAACGCTCAGACGACGTGCAATGCGTGTCGTAAAACGCTTAGACGACGCACAAATGTGTGTCAAGGAAGACCCTGTCATAACGAGAGACGACACGCTTTTGCGCATCATCTATTTACGATGCGCATTTATGACACAATGCGTATCAAGGAAAGCTTTGTCATAAAGGAAGACGACACACATTTGCGTGTTATAATCTTACGATGCGCGTTCAGGACACACATTGCGTATCATTAAAGCCCCTGTCATAAATGAAGATGACACGCATTTGCGTGTCATAAACTTTAGCAACCATTTACGATATGCATATACGACATGCCTTTACGATATTGATTTACGTATAATACAAAAATATATAAATAAATATATACCAAAACAATCAATTTCATCCAATAACATCATGTCAAAAATTGTAATACATTGGTACTAAGAGGATCTAATTTTACATTGTTATTAAGAGGTTTTCCCTAACTATATAACATAATACTACATTGTTATTAAGGGGAACCTTGTTTCAGATATCATGTTAAAAAAATCCTCCATATCATCGGTTTGCCACCGGTTCCTTTGTTGAATAAACAGAGTGAGTGACTCCGCCTTTTTCAATAGCGTGAATCCAATTGGGTTGATCAAGTCAGCATGAAAAATGGCTCTAAGACAGAGGTGCTAAGGGCACGTACATGAGCACTCGGGTGAGAAAGGCACCAAATGGTAGCAGGCAACCGACACTATTACATTCAATCAAATTCATTATTTAATGAATGTATGTCTATAAAATAAATCAAGATTACATTCAATCAAGGCTTTGGTTTCAAAGTATCCTACTATCAAATATTCATGGAGTAGAAATCAAGATTATTTTGTTATTACACTTATTATATTAAAGTGTAATAACAAACTAATCATATTAATTTGGTTTCCTATTAGGAAATGCACTTACTTTCCATCATTTTCTTTTTTTGAACTCTTGTCAACAAAAATACAAATATATATATATATATATATATATATATATATATATATATATATATATATATCATAGATCCCAGGGTACAGCCATAACATGGATCTCCACAGCCTACTGTTTCTGGTGAAAAAACATTTATTTGTTAAATTATAATTATGGTGATGATGCTGAGTTGGCAATGAAAAAGAGTTGGAAACCTGAATTCGATAGGGTCTGTGATGTTTGAAGAAGGTTGCAGATCTAATTTGTCACCATGATTCCAGCCATTGAAGCTACCAACCACCTCGACACTCTCACCCTCACCCCAATAGTCAACTTGAACATACCAAAGTCAAACCAGTAAATGCCATTTTTACTAGTAATTTAGTAAATAAGGAGTTACCTGTTTTAATCCAAAAAGGCTTTCTTCAGCTGCAAGTAACTCTGCATCTTTATCCAACAGAAGCTTTTGTGCTTTATTTATCTATGTTTCAGCTTTAGCTTGTAATTAACACAAGGCTTGCTGAGTAGCAACCACTAACCAACTGTTACTGATTTTGTCAAGCAAAACACTACAAATAATTTTTTTTTAAATCATCCTTATAATAGTTCACCTTGTTCATCTCAATTTGTTCCTTCAACTGAGATAATTCCAACTCCTTGTGATGCTAAACACATCAAAAACAATGAGAAGATTTAGATATATGCTACAAAGATCCAATAACTAGTTTGTGATGAATGATTATTGAACATGAAAATTATTATATAATACCAGTATAACTGTGATGTTATTGATTTCAGGTTCATCCTCGTTTGTTCTCATCTGTCTTACAGAAACATAATATAACATATTTTAGAGACCAGGGGGGGGGGGGGGGGGGGGGGGGGGGGGGTAAGTAGACACAGAATAATATATGTAAGAACCGAGGTAGCTGGTGGAGCTGGTTTTTGGTTCCTTTTCTTTAGCAGTTCCTAATAGGAAACAAAATTAATATGATTAGTTTGTTATTACACTTTAATATAATAATTCAACTTGAAAGCAATTTTTTTTAGTGTTCAGTAAAATAACGAACCGCTATCTAAACAAAAAAAAATTGCCAGCTCAGCAAGATGCTGAGAAAACACCAGCACGAACCGTTGTCTAAACAAAAAATATACATATCATGTAAAAATATAAAAATGGATTTTATTTCATTTGCTTGTTATAGAAACACACGGGAATTGAAATAGAGAAGAGAACCTTAGAGTTTGACTTTGACTTGCTGCTGCTGTGGTTTGACACATTTGACTTATACTTCACTTGCTTCTTAGCTGCCCTTGACACAACTTCAAAGATTGTTGGGAGATCATTTATCATGTTGAAAAGACACTTCCTACATATTCCAATTTGGTCAATAATAAGAACCATTATACATTAAATGGAATCTTGAATCATTAAAAATAATAAAAGAAAGAAATACAAATACCATAATACATATCAGCTTTATCAAATCCAAATCTAGCCCCAAAATAGAAGGCAAAAGAAAGAAGCCATGAACAACAACTAAAGCTAGCCAGTCTTTTCTGGCATTCCATCTCTAGCAAAGTTAATTCCAAGTGCAGGTTCCGGAAGCTCTGGTGGACTCATAGTGTGGCGTTGTAGGGTTCAACAACAGTGTCTGAGACCTTTGGAGATGGAAAGACCGAGAATGTCATCATCATCCTGTCAAGATACTCTTCTCTGATCTTTGAAATCAGAAGAGTACACATACCAGACCCTGTTTCGCCTCTTAGAGTATGGCACACCTGGAAACCTGTAAATAAAATGTCATCACTACCACCAGATCAGGAGGAGGATTTATCAGCACCACCAATAGCCATCACATTGCTCATATGCACCAGAACCAACCAATAGGATCCTTGAATCAGACTTTTATTTAACCTTTGAATTATTATTTCCATTTATTTCTTCACTCACACACCCATGTGATCTAAATACCTTCTGAACTCTGTGATCATTTAATTAAGCTATCTCTATCTCATTGCACATTGATTCATAAAGAAAGTGGAAGGGTGCTAAATATAAAGGAATTTACCTGAAGTGGAAGGGTGCACCCACTGCATAATTACAACAATGTTATTGTTACCTATTCAATTCATCAACACTTGATGTATAATGGCTTCTAGGAGTTAGTGATCAGGATGTGTTACCTGCATGCTAAGCAATTCTTGAGTGATATTTTTACTGGATCCGTTTGAAGAGTTTCTTTAGCAGGTGTTGTTTTTACCAGCTTCTGTTCAAGAAAAAGCACTTGATGAGTAACAATAGTCATATTTGTATGTATTTGAAGGATAAACTTACATTCAACAAATCGATTTCAACTGCCAAAACAGGGGTGATAAGATATTAAGAAAGATGCATAAAAAATAAAAATAAAATCCCTAAACCAGTTCTTATTATACTGAACTTAAAGCTAATCACTCTTACATTTTTGAATCTAGGTGAACATAAAGCTAATCGTACACTCTGTTGTTGAATCATTTAAAAGATTCAGTGGCAAATATATTCACTAACATAAAAAAGTTTAAGTACATCATTAACCTTCCATTTACAGCCAATTACAAGATGAAAAGAGGAGACTAACTAATAGAAAAGATAGAAGAAAATCATTACTATCTGTGGACTCATTGCATGAGAAAATACAACGTACAACTCTATAATGTAGGAGGGAGACCCGAGATATGTCATGCGTAATTTTGACTAATATTCAAATATTTTGCTTGCTCTCTGTTTGAAGTATGATAAACAAAAACCCTAGGTTCGCTCACAATCTGTCTCAGAGAATTGTAGTGAACTAT